CCCCCGCCCGCGCCGCCTCAGCCGCCGCTTCTCCCGCAGGTGTGAACCGCCACTTCCACATGATCTGCATCAGGGACAAGTTCAGCCAGAACATCGGCCGGCAGGTGCCGTCCAAGGTCATCTGGGACCACCTGAGCACCATGTACGACATGCAGGCGCTGGTGAGCCGCACCCCGCCGTCCCCGCGGGGCTGGTCGGGACACCGGGGCGCTCCGGGTGGCGTCGCCGCAGCGCTGGCCCGGCGACGGAAGCTGGTACCCGCGCAGAAGCGCCTCTAAGGCGGGCGGCCAGCGGGGGCCTCCCCGTCGCGGGTCTCGCGGGAGCCCCGAGCGCCCTGGGCAGGAAGGTGGCCGGGTTCCAGCCAGGCTCGGATGAGCGCCATGCAGTCGGCGCCCCAGCCCGCCGGGGGCCCCGGAACCAGGACGCCAGAAGGGACACGGGGTGACCCTGGCGGAGGACCAGCAGGTGTCAGGCCCTGCGGCTGCAGCCGTGGGAACAAGGAGCTCGCAGGAGCGTGCGCGTGGGGGGCGGGGGCCTGTGCGGCGCCAGGGACGGCGCTGCCTCCCTGCGGGGCTCTGGGCCGCCGGCCCCCATCCGAGACCTGGGTGCGCAGCGCAGGTGGAGGGCGTCGCGACCCCGAGCGTCCCTCGCTTCCTGTTGGCCTTGGGCAAGTCGCCCGAGTCATTTGAGCCTCCCTGTCATAGGCGGATGGGGTACAGGTGATGGCTGTGCCCTGGACCCACCCACACGGTGGCCAGCGGGGGCCCAGGATCCTGGGGGGTTTCGCAGCTCCCGAGCTGCCGACAGGCGCACTCACGGCCGGCCGCCCGGTCTAACACGCCTGCTGAGTGGCAGCGTGCGGTCCGCTCCCACCAGCTCGCCTTCCTCCGCCTGGCGCTCCCTGTGTCCGAGTCCCCCGGCTTTCCGGCACACGTGGCCTGGGGACAGGTGGAACCTGGCACCCTCTGCTCTCCTCACCTGCTCCCTGCGGGTGGCTTTCCCAGCCACTGCCCTCAGTATCTTCAGGCCGTTCGCACACAGACATCCTCAGCGCTGCCACTGCCCTCTGAGCTCAGGACAGCTGCTGCCCGCTTCTGCCCCTGAGAGCATGTGCCAGCATCGTCCCGGGTGACACTAGCCCACCATTCTTTCCCCTCCTGACTCCTGCCAGTGTTGGCACTGCACTTGTGTCTTCTCTGGGCCCATAAACTGTGCCAGCAAGAACGAGCGGTCTTCACCCCTCATGCCACCTCGGCAGGCCCCTACGATGTCTCTCTGTGTCCCTGGGGTGTTCCTGAGTTGGCTTTTATGCCGTTTTACTCACTTGCTAAAATCACATTTTCTTTTTTTGTTTCTTAAAAAAATAAAATGCGTTCTTTGCCATCAGCATGAATCTGAGATTCTTCCATTCCCAAACCTAGAGAGGAACTTCGTCCTTCCAGAAGAAATCATTCAGGAAGTCCGGGAAGGTGAGACTCAGACACGGTCAGATTTGGGGACTGGAAAAGGCAGGATGTGGTGTCAGGGTGAAGGTCATGAGCCTCAGGGAAAAGTTAGGGTCACTGGCATGTGATGCCCGGCCCCCCTGGATAGGGGAGGCCTTGTTCACGAATGGTCGCGTCTCTAGAAGTGACTGGGCAGCCTGAGCCACCACCAGTGTGGGCCCTCGATAAGTGTCAGTCGTTTCTCTCACAGGAAAAGTGATCATTGAGGAGGAAATGAAGGAAGAAATGAAGGAAGATGTGGACCCCCACAACGGGGCCGATGATGGTAAGTACGGAGCGTGCCCCGTCCCTCCCCTGGGGCCCCGGGGGGCATGGCACCCACCCCTGGCAAGGCCTCCCCACAGGACACAGCCGCAGGTCCCGGCCTGGATTTCTGGTCCCTGACAGCCAGAGCTGTTCTGTCTGGTCCCACAGTTAAGTACCTTCCACCTGCTAAGTCAGGAGCCTGGCTCTGTGGACACCATATGTGTGGCTGACACCACAAACGCACCACAGTGGCCTCGGGCACTGGAGCCCACTCAGGCAGACCCAGTATGCAGTGCAGGGGGTCCGACGGTGTAAAAGTGTGCCGGTCATCTCCGTACGCGGCAGACCACATGGCAGCCGGTTACCCCGGGCGGGACAGGGTCCTGTGGCCTGAGCCAGTGGTGCCCGAGGCCGGCAGGTGGGCACGTCCTCAGGAGGACTGGCCCTCATCAGGACCGCCCCCAGCTCAGGAGAAGCTTGTTGGTTCAGAGCATTGTGTATGTGGATACAGAATTTTTTAATTGAACAGGAAGATGAAATAAAATTCTGGATATTCTGTTTTCAGCCAAATGATTTTGTCTCCCAGTTTTCTCATCTTCAGGAAGCTTGGGGAAAGCAACCGAAAAGTCCGGCAAAGACAAAGACAAGAACTCCTCAGACTTGGGGGCCAAGGAAGGGGCGGACAAGCGCAAGCGCAGCCGGGTCACCGACAAGGTCCTGACCGCGAACAGCAACCCTTCCAGCCCCAGTGCCGCCAAGCGGCGCCGAACATAGATTCTCCATGGGGATGGGCGGGCGGGGCCGTGGTCACCAGGCCACTGGGGTCCGATGCTCTGGCCCCTGCTGCCTGCCCTGGGGCCTGGGGGTTCCACGGCACCCACTCACCATCTGGGGCTCAGACGGACCCCAAAGACCAGGACTGCCCTGCCCTCAAGAGCTTTGTGACCCAGGCTCGTCTGTGCATCACCCACCCTACAGCCAATGCGGGCTGAGGGTCCCGGCCGCGGGCGGCAGAGAAGGCTTGGAACAGCAAGCAATAAAACACCACCTCCCCCACCAGTCTTCCTGGGGTGAGGCTCTCTGTGCACTGCTCTTGTTCAACTGACTGTGACCTCAGGAGAAAGCGAGGCCATCGAGCTGCACACGAGGCCTCTCCGTCACCGCCGAGGAAGCTGGGGACTGGACGTTTTGCCTCATTCACTGTACTGTAACGATGTATATAATTTGGTTGCTATTTAATTTTTAAGAAACCTATTTTACTAGTGTTTTATATGAAAAACATACTGCAGAAGTGAAAAACCTGTGTTGTATTTTTTCTGAGATGTTTTGAGGTAATGACCCCTGAGATGCTTTTTGCTCAGTTTTTATATGCCAGATATAAAGAATTTGTAGTGGTTATTTTTGTATTACCGAGTAACTTGCAAACCGACCGATGAATGAGTGGAGGGGAAGGCACGCTGCAGAGCTGACGGGACTACACTCCGTTTGCCGAACATTAAAGCACAGGAAAGTAACCCAGAGTCGTGTGATTGTGGTGCCAAAATCAGTCACTTTGCCTACAGTAGGGAATTTTTGTTTTTCCAAGATTTATCACTGACACACTTAGATTAAGTACCTGACTCACTTGATACAATACAGATACAAGCGAGTCACAGCAGCGGATGTGACAGGCCCTCTAATAAACCTATGAGGAGCGCAAAGGAGGCAGAGCTGGTGCGGGACGTCCCCATGGGCCCTGAGCCTGCGGCTGGGCCCACTCAGAACCCAGGTCCAGCCATGCTCAGTGAGCCAAGAAGCGGGGCGCTCCCTCCTGGCTGGCCACCACGCCTGCTCTCTTCATCTGGACAAACCCTGAGGACACTTGAGTTCCCGTCCACCTAGGAGCAGGAGGTCAGAACTCAACTGCAACCCCTCAGCTAAGGCCAGGACCCTGGTGCTGAGAGGCTGCCCAGCGTGGGGTCAGGCTGGCCTGCACCAAACCAGTCACTTCGGGGCCTTGAAGACAGTACTGGCAACTGGCATCCGGTTCCCTGCAGGGCAGGACCAGCAGTGCTGGACACGGCATCCTGTCCAGGGTCTGCTGACCCTGAGCAGCAGCTGGTCAGCCCATCACCCTGGACTGGCACCTGTAGCAGAAGCGTGCACTCTGTAGCTTGGGGGCCCCGTGGGGCGTGTGTCCAGCAGAACAGCTGCCACAGCAGGAACCTGGACAGAGCCCAGGGTGGAGCCCAAGGCCACCCTTTCCCCGGCACACCCCTGCCATTGGCACTTCTCCTGAGATGAAGTCCTATGAGGTCTGCTGTCCAAGCACAGCAAGCACCACACCCACCCCCCAGTTGCCCAGACGTGCTAGGCTCTGTCACCTTGCCACAGACAGGCAACAACAAAAGGGAAGAGAGGGGAGGTCTGCCTGATGGAGAGTTCTAGAACCAGCTGGGAGGAGGACACACCCCTTTCACCACCAGTGTCCACCAGCCTTCACTCAGCACCCACTCTGTGCCAGGTTCTGTCGCTGGAGCTGTGATGCATGAGAGAAACCTGGGGAGTCCACCAGAACTGGCAGAGAAATGGGCAGAGAGCATTGGGGCTGCACATAGAGCAGACGGGGCTCACTGGTAAACCCCTATCTGAAACAGCATCTTCAGAGACCTCAGAACATACCTCGTTAATAACGCAAGCCTGCCTAGTTTCAATCAACATTTTACTGCACTTCTAGGAGAAGGGCAGCCGGGCGAGCAGGTGGCCCCCAGCCCTGGGCATCCCGATCGGCCTATCTCCCATGTCTTGGCACCCTCTGGATTGCAGTCCTCAGCAGGGGCAAGGCCGACCGAGCATCCCTGCCTGGGTGGACATAGATACCCACGGCCTCCAGGATCTCCACTTTCCTTCAGGTGGACCCAGCTCCCATCTGTGCTGTGTGTGGTCTGTGCAGGCCAAGTTCGCAGGCATCTGTGGCATGTAACCTTTCCTGGCCGCACAGGGGTCTGATCTGTGACGTGCGGGTCTTATGTGCACCCACCACATAACAGAAGGCGCCAGTGGAAACTATCCAAACAAGAAAACAGCTTGGATGGGGCTAAAGGGGTGGAGATAGAGACTCAAATGCCTGCAGCTATAGAACAAAAAGAAACTCCTTATGCAGTTCAGGCTGTTGACTTAAGATAGAAACCCCTGCAGAGGCTCTTTGCAGCAAGGGCACTAGGGCCTGACCCCCTTTGCTGCATCGCTGTGGGTGGGGACCACGTGACCAGGTGGCTGTGGACTCAGCACTCCCGCTCCAGCCCGCTGCAGCCCCACATGGGTGAGGCTGAGTGGGCTCCCAAGTATTACCGAACACACACTGAGCAGCAGTGGGGAGCAGCGGGCTCCCTACGTGGCTGGTTGGGCGGAGATGGGCAGACTTTGCCCAAATAACCTGACCACAACTATTTTTGCCTGAGGAAAGTGTTCAGGCAGGTCTAACCTGAGCTCGCCTCAGCCAGGCTCCTGCTAGAGCCATCGGCGGGGTAATGCCACCGTGGGGCACACCAGTGACTGCTGGTGCAGGAGATGGCCCTTCCCCGCGTGGCCAAGCCCGTGTGGCAGTGTGTGTGAGGTGTGTGCCTGGCGCTACGTTCTCGGCCCCCTGGCCCAGCCTGGGCAGTAAGCCACCTTGAATGCTGAGCCCACATTGGGCGTCCCAGGGTGCCAGCTTGTTCCCACTGCAGAATGGGGTCCCCAGGTTAACACCCCCTCTGAGATGAGCTCTGTTCAAACTGTGCACAAAAGCAACTGAAGGTGCTGTTGGGTGTGGCTATTACTTGTACAGCATAAGCTGGGCAGTGTCGTGTGGACAACCCCGGGGAGAGCCGTCTACAGTCCTGGCCCTGGCAGGAGGCAGCGGCGAGAAGGCTGTTTGTTGGGTCACAGATGGGCTGGGCGGTGAAGCCAGGAGGTCCCCCCCCCCCAACGCACGCTCTCTCATCTATGTTGCCTGGGGCAGAGGAGGGGTGGAGCCTGCCAACCCTAGTGCTCTCAGATCAGCCAAACCCTAAACTACCGCCTGCCCCCACACCCATCAACTCCTCCATCAGAGGCTCCCCAACTAGCTGGATATCATAGCCAGGGGCCCCAAGGCAGGTGCAAATCCACTAGAGAGAAGGTCATGCTGTGGCCTCGGTCCGCAGTGGGCTAGCCTCAGCAGGTGCCCAGCAGCTGCTTCCAGGAAATGTACTCTGGCCATTGGTAACAGATGACTTGCAGAAATGCCCAGAGCTCCATACCTTCGAGGGAGTCACCACTGTCCTTTTAGAAAGTGAGATAGCAACGTACGTAGGTTCCACCCAGGTGAGACTGTGCCCTGAGATAAGGTCGGCACCAGCACCCAGGGAAGCCTTGCGCTGTGCTCACAGCCAACACTGTTAGCTGTCACCAACTGCATAGCACAAGGCATATCGCCATCCCCCGGCACAGGCTGACAGGGCCCAGAGAAGTGAGCACCCCTGCAGGGCTGGGCTGTAGCCTTCTCCTATTCGCCACCATCGCCCTGGAGGCAGCCTGCCCGCAGCTCTTCTCATGGCAGAGTCAAAAAGTCAGACTTGAGTCTTAGCTAATTGTTTTGAAATGATAAATGGTATAGTAGCTACAGCAGATGAATTTTACCTGGGTGGCCACCCCCAATCTCCATTTCAAGGGGTGAGTCACCAACTTTGCCGGAGCCCCTGTGTCACCCAGCAAATGTCAGAGGCAGAGGTTACGTAGCGGACCCACAGGCACTGGAAAATCTGAAGCGGCAGGTGATTTTCAGCTGTCTGAAATCTGCCAATGGATGTAAAGGGGCAGCCACCACCAGCCACCTCCCAGCCCCCAGAGAGGCCCCTAAGGGGGCGCTTAACTGATGTGGGCCTGTGCTGAGCAGCCCCAAGGGTGACCTCCTGGTGTTCAGGCTTTTGTGTGGTGGCTCCCCTCAGTGTTGGTGGCTCCCGTGCTGTTCTTATAATCCTCAGAATTCGGCAAAAGCAATGGGATGTCAGGCCCACGGTGGTGACCGTCAGCAACCTGGAGAGTCTCCTGCTGGCCTTGAAGAAGCAAAATGTCCAGTGTGAACAGCCACCGGAGGGGACACAGGAGTCTGTCCTGCCGCCCCAAGAAGATGAGTCCGGCCAACAATCTGAGGGAGCTTGGAGGCAGATCGCACCCCAAACAAGCCTCTCTGATGAGACTGCAGCTCAGGTGACACTAGGAGGTCCCCCAAAGGAGGCACTCTGGGGGAACATCCTGGGTCACCTTCTGGGGGATAGTCATCTTGCGGGACAGCTTCCAGGCAATATCCTTCTTGGGGCATCCTCCAAAGAAATTCTCTGGGGGGAAGCGACATCCTCAAAGGGTCACCAGCCTCTGGGGAGCGCATCCTCCCGGGCGGGGCTTCTGGGGCGGGGGGGGGGACCTCGGAGGAAAATCCACGGGGATGAGAGGGCGACCTGGGAGGGGTTCTGGGGACAGACACTCTTTGGACAACCTCCAAGGGGCATCCTTCGAGGGGAATTCTGACAGAAATCTCAAGACCAGCAAGTTTTGGAGGGACGCATCCTCTAGGGGGGACGTTCTTCCAGGGGAAGGGGTAATCGGGGGATGGGCATCCTCGGGTCAAAAGGTGTCTGCGGCTCAGGGACGCTGGGCGGCGCGTCCCCAGGCCCGCCCCGGCCCCGCCCCCGGTGCCGACCAGCCGTTAACGCGCACTCGGGCCCCGCCCCCGCCCCCGCCCCAGCCGATCCCGGTGCGCAGGAGCTCCTCGGTGCAGCGCTCAGGCCAGAGGTCAGCCTGACGCAATCGAAGCCCTTTTAAAGCCCACTCGNCCCGCCCCCAGGCCCGCCCCCGCCCTTCCTTCCTCTTTCACTTTCGTTTCCGCCGCCGGAGCGCGGGTTCCCGCTGCCGCCCGAGCATGGACGACCCGGACTGCGACTCGACCTGGGAGGAGGACGAGGAGGACGACGACGAGGGTCTGAGCGCCGGGGGCGACGAAGATGGCGAGGCCGGCGCCCCGGGGGACGCGGACGCGGAGGAGGAGGAGGAGGAGGCGGCGCGGCCCAGCGCGCTGCAGGTGCGGACCCCGCGCGCCCCGCGCGTCCCTGGGGAGGCCGGACCCGCCGCCGCGGGGTGGGGGCAGCAGCCCCGCTCCGGGGAACACTGTCTCCTTCGCTCCACTCGCGCCCCCGCCGGGGCTGGGGGCGGGGGCGCCCCTTGGAGACTCGGCTCGGGGCCCGCCTCTCCCTTCCCAGCCGTTCCCCTTTCCCCGACCCGCGTCCTCCGCGCGCTGCCCTCATGAACGCCTGGAAACCCCGACATCTGCCTCTCCTTGGGCCCGCCAGCTCTGGCACAGCCAGGGGCCCTCGCAGGGGACCCAGGGCCACCCTGAGACCGAACTCGCGTGGTGACATTGCCTCTAGGCACATCCTCGACCGCCCTGTCTGGGTCAGCCTCCTCCAGCTCGTGGCTGCCTTCCAAGCCCCGGCCCTCCGCGCGGGCCACCTCACTGCGTCCGCCAGCCTCTTAGCCTCCCCAGGACCCTCAGGGAGCGCCTTGCCCTGCTCCCCGCCCACCCAAGGCCCCTGCGGCTCAGGCCCCAGCCCCCAGTCTGCCCCACCCCTGCTGTTCCTCATGGGTGCAGCACCCACCTGCTTGGGCTGGAGCCGACCTCCCACCCTCTTGGAGGTGGCCTTGGTGGCCGCGTTTCTGAGCCGTGCCCAGCGGTTCCTTGTGGCTCCCACTGGTTATTCATCACACCGCCTGCTAGGTTGGTTATCCCTGGTTCCTTTCGTTGCCCCTAGTTACTTATTGGTACCAGCGGCTACTTTTGCTGCCACTGGTTACTTGTCCTGAGCAGGTTTACTTGCACTCACTGCGGTGTGAGTGCCCTTGTTCCAGCTGGGGTTCCCCGGTGTTACGGGGGACCCAGAATGGTAGCCGTTGCCCTGTGTCCCAGTTGCTTTTGGATGAAGGCACCTTGGCACTGTGTCCGGAGAGTCTTGAAGTCCAGTCTTTGCGGTCTCTCGGTTGGATTCTCGTAGCCGATGAGAGCACTGGTTTGCAGGTTTATCTCTCCATGTCTTGAGGTGGTCACCGAAAGGGACCCTGAGAGGCCCCTGTGCCTGCCTGGAATGCCAGTGGCCTCAGCACATCCAGTGCTGGGGTGGGGGCGAGTTCCTTGAAGAGGCAGGCTGGGCAGTGGTCAGGGTCGTGGGCTTGGAGTCACAGGGCAGGAATCTGGTTCTGTCCCCCAGCAGATCCCCACAGGTGTGGCAAGGATTAGGTGAGAGGACAGTTCACCCATAGTTCCGCAGGCTGCTCCACTTAAGGCATACTCTGTTGCCTTGACCACCCTGTGAGATGCCCACAGTCATCTGACCTTCCCCCCCAAAGACCCCCATGATGCTCCCCAGCTGCCCTGCCCTGGGCCCTGCCCAGCGGTCGCCATGCAGTGGGCTGTCGCGCGCGCATGTGTGTGTGTGTGTGTGTGTGTGTGTGTGTGTGTGTGTGTGTGTGTACGTGTGTGTACGTACGTACGTACGTACCTGTGAGTCTGGGCGTGTCCAGTCAGGCCCCACCCTCAGGCAGAGCAGACAGGGGAGGTCCCCAGCTGGGCAGGCCCAGCAAGCAGAAATATTGGGTCGTATGGGGAAAGCCATGACGCATTTTTGCATTGAAAAACAGAAAAGTATGTTACGACTTTCCCAACAACCCAGTAGAAACTGACGCAGCACTGGGGCTGGCCTCTGCTGAGTTTCAGTTTTGTTCACTGGCCCTTGGCTGGTAGGAGAGGACCTCACCAGCTGGCCCTGGTTTAGAAATCAGGCAGAGGGGCAGCTCCAGACCATGGCTGGGACTCAAAACCATTGAAGGGTCTTGGGGGTTCAGAATGGGGTCTAGCCAGGATACGCGGTGGCAGGCCTCGCCTCCTGACCCCCCTTCCAGCAGTCCTTTACTTCTAGGATCCTGGGACCCAGGCGTTTCCTCAGGATGAGTCCCCTCTCCTGCCATGCCCAGGGGCTGCACCTGCCCTGTCACCCCCTCACCACCACCACCACCCAGCCTCAGTCACACAGTTGGGCTCAGCTACCCTTGTAAGAAGGTGGGGCAGGCTGTTTCCCTAGCATCCTGGTCACCAGTTACCTCCCATCCTTCCTGGCCTGTGGAGAGAGGGCTGCAGGGGTCAGGCGAGCAGCAAGGAGCCTCTGATTTCTTGCGGAGAAGCCACCCACCCCCACCCTCGATGGGGCTGGTGGCCAGGAGATAAGGGTCCTGGTCAAAGAGCAGTGGGGTTGGGCGGGATGGGATTGGTCAGTCATTCCTTCATCAGACCCAGCGATGGGTTTGGGGCCCCTCCTAGGGCTGTAGGTGGCGAGGCCACGGCCCTTGGGAATACGTGCCTGGTGACAACTTAGAGCACAGTGTAAGGAGGAAGCAGTAGGGAAGTTGGGGTTTCCTGGGGAGAGGTGACAGCTGTGGCCCGAATGGGGGCAGCTAGCAAACACGGGAAGGGGAAGGGAAGTTTGAGCTTGGAGGGCTGCACCCCAAGAATGTTCATGTTGGCCTGTGGGTCCTGAGGGCTGGAGTGGGTGGCAGGGGCTGAGAAGGGGGCAGGCCACTCCAGACCCCTCTGGTTTGGTTGACATCTGACCCAGGTCCTTGCTGCCCGGGATGGGGATCCCGGGGCGGGGAGGGGGGGTCCTGCCTGCTGGTGGGCCTCAAGGAGTGGGGAGGGGCTCCCGTGGGGTCTTACCCCGTCTTCTCTTCCCAGTCTAGGATGATGGAGTCCCGAAACTGGCGAGCCATGCGGGACACGCGCAGGTACCGGCACCACTACCCGGTACGTAGCTGCCTGCAGCCCCCTCCACCCTCAGCAGCCCCTGGGTCCAGACCCTCCCACTTCCCACCCAGAGGAGGCCAGCGGGCCGATGTGCCCTCGAGACTTGCCGCCCCAAGCCGCAGGGCCCCTTTATAAGCGGTCACAATGCGCGCTCACGAGGCCCCACACCGCCGGCCACTGTGGCAGCCTCGTCCTCAGCCCCTGCCCTCTGCACCGTGGGTCTCAGGCAACCCTTAGGCTACCTTGGGGTACAGATGAAGGGGACCTCCCAGCCCTGGCTCACACTGGTGGGGAGGTGAAAGGTGGTCGGAGGAGGATGCTGGCCGAGCTGCCGATGAGGGGCCCAGGCTGGGCGCGTGGGGTCTTCTCCGGCCTTCAGGATGTCTGGAGGTTTTCTGGCCAGGGGCAGACGCCCCCTCCCCCAGGAACACGCTAGCCTGAGGGACCCTGGAGGGCAGCCTGTTTTCATGCTGTCCTCACCGGCACCTTCTGTGGTTCTTCAGGATTTGGTGGAACGAGAGAGCAATGGTGACATGCCAAACCTGAGTTTCTACAGAAACGAGATCCGGTTCCTGCCCAACGGTACGCACCCACTCACTGCAGGCAGTGCCACCCTGCCGGGGTGTCCCCTCGGCCATCTGCTGGCACCTGGTTTGGGAGGGCTGCATGTTGGGCCCCTGGCTTTCAGGTAGCCCCACAGTGCCCCCTGGAGGCTGCTGAGGGGACCCCAGGACCCCAGCCTGTGGTTTGGACGCCGCTGGCACACTTGCTGTGTAAGGGGCTGGACAATAAATATTGGTGGCATTGCAGGCCCGAGGTCTCGGTCACAGCTCCTTGGCTCTCCCGCCACAGTGGGAAAGCTGCTTATGTCCACTAACGAGGAAGGGTTTTTTACATTTTTTAAATGGTTGGAAAAATTTAAGGTACAATCATAATATTTTGTGATATGAGGGTTATATGAAAATCAGATTTCAGTGTCCATGGGTGAAGTTTTATTGGAACCCCCACGCCCGTCGTTTATGCGTGGTCTGTGGCTGCTTTCCCTGCGACGCACATAGTTGCAGCCGAAACCGTGTGGCCACAGAGCCTCCAGTAGTCAGTGTCTGGCCCTTCACCGAAACAGCGGCCGCCCTGTGGGAGACGGGGCCATGGGTGGCTTCCAGCTGCAGGTTCTGTGAGAGGCAGAGTTCCAGCTAACAGCCTGTCCTTTGGGGAGCCAGTGAGACCCCTTTTGCAAAGACAGATGCAAGTCTGGGACAGCTTGTTCTGCCCGGGGCCTCCGCCCTCCCACGGGTGGGGTCTTCTTTCTTACGTGTGTCTTCAGTCAGCAACGGGGTTCCCCTTTCCAGACTGCAAAGGGGCTGAGACATGTGGGGGTTTAAATCACAAGAGACGAACACAAGCTGCAGAGCCCCAAGGTCCTCAAGGCCGAGGGGGCGGGGCTTTGAATGCACCGGGCTGACTCCTCGCTGTGGGGCTCCTAGGCTGTTTTATTGAGGACATTCTTCAGAACTGGAGGGAAGACTACGACCTCCTGGAAGACAACCATTCCTACATCCAGTGGTGAGTGGGAGGGCCTGGGGGAGGAGAGGCTTGGGAAGGGGTGGGCTTGGGGCTTCAGCGGGGAGGGGCTCCAGCCAAAGCAGGGTTCTGGGGTGGGGCTGGGACGGGTATGCAGGTGCTGTGGGGGCGGGGCCGAGGGCCTGGCTCAGGCGGAGCGTAGGGAGCAGGCACACTGGCTCGTCTGTCCGAAGCTGCCCTTTGCTCTCACTGCAGGGTACTGCAGGCTGGTGGTCGTTGAGGGAAGACCCCGCCGTCCCACAGGCTGTGGGTTCTGTAGCTGTAACAGCCTCTGGCTGGCTGGGAGCTGATGCTGGACATGGGGGCAGGAAGAACAGCAGACACACTGGCTTGAGCGGGGTGTGGGCCTAGAGGGCCTAGAGGGCAGCTGGCGCTGGCCTGTCCCACGGAGCTGCTTTGACACGTGGTGGCGGGTTCTGACCGCGGCTTGAGGTGACCCTTGACGTGTTCACACAGCGTGTCTTTGAGGATGCTCGCAAAGTCCTCTCCTTGGCGCAGGGTGCCACGGGAAGAATTTTGTGGCATCAGTGATGGGAGGGAAAGAATAAAAAGGACTGGCCGCCCTCACTGCTGAGCAGGCACGTGCCCGTCCTGTGCCCTGTCCGCGACGCCTTCCCTGGGAGCCCTCCTGCCCTCACCCCTTGGCTTTGTTGTGAGAGCCTGTGGCACGTGTTGGCCTTAGGGTTGAGTGGTGAGCCCAGACAGGGCAGTGAGCCAGCCACCCCGGGCTGCCCAGCTGGCTGAGAGCCCGCGTCTGCCACTGATGGGACCGTGTCATTTCTCCTCCCACAGGCTGTTTCCTCTTCGGGAGCCAGGAGTGAACTGGCATGCCAAGCCCCTCACCAAGCGTGAGGTCGAGGTGAGCTCGCGTCCGCTGCCCAGGGAGGGGCCACGTCTGGCCACAGGCATTTGTGTGCCCCTAGGGAGCCACTTGGAGTGCAGGAGCCAGAAGACCCCCCCCCCATTATCTCCCCTCTACAGGGGTCCTCACCTCCGCCCCCCCCTCCCCCTTGCAGGGCGGGGCTAGCCTTTGCCGGGTGAAACAGGTGCTCTGATGAGATGCTGGGCCTTTCCTGCCTCGTGCCCAGCCCTGGGAGCCCCTTGAGTTCCTCCCAGCGGCTCAGGGCTTCCCCTCAGGGCTGCAGCAGACGCTCAGCCAGGTGTGTCTCAGGGCTCCTTCGCCCTCAGTCTGAGTCCAGGCTTCTAGATGAATCGGGCCGAGGGGGGCACTAGCCAGCCCGACATCTGCGCCAGCAATGGCCCCTGAGCTCCCTGCTCTCTTCCGGGTGCACCCCAGGCTTTTAAAAGCTGCAAGGAGGTTGGGGAGCGGTTTGTCCAGGCCTACGAGCTCATGCTGGGGTTCTACGGGATCCGGCTTGAGGACCGAGACACAGGCAAGGTGTGCCGGGCACAGAACTACGAGAAGCGCTTCCAGAACCTCAACTGGTGAGGGCCGCCCCACCCAGCGGCTGGCACAGCCCGACTCGGGTTGAGGGGGAGGGGCTGTGCTCGGTTTTAGGCAGGTGTCGCTGAGCATTTTTGGGGCGGAGGGACGAGTGACTAAGACTCTGAGCACCGTCCGTTTTGCTTGCAGGGTGGGGTGGTCCCTGCCTTGGCGGCTGAGGACTTAAAGGAAGTCCTGCTCTTCAAGGCCTCTCCGGTCCTCCTCCAGCCCTAGTGGGGGGCGGGGTTCATGGGACCAAGGGGTAGTAACCCTTCTGGAGGGTGGAGGGTGCATCACAGCCCCCACACACACTGAGCTCCTGGAGGAGGAGGGTGGGCCTTGGTTGCGAGCCGCCCACCAGCGCCCCCCTCTGGTCACCCGCCCCCCCCCCAGCCACAGCCACAACAACCTCCGCATCACGCGCATCCTGAAGTCGCTGGGCGAGCTGGGCCTGGAGCGCTACCAGGCACCGCTGGTCCGCTTCTTCCTGGAGGAGACGCTGGTGCACCGGCAGCTGCTGGGCGTGCGGCAGAGCGCCCTGGACTACTTCGTGTTCACCGTGCGCTGCCGGCGCCAGCGCCGCGCGCTGCTGCACTACGCCTGGCAGCACTTTCAGCCCCGCCGCAAGTTCGTGTGGGGGCCCCACGACAAGCTGCAGAGGCTCCGGCTGCACTCTCCGCCCCGCCCTCCCCTGCCAGCAGGCCCCAAGCAGGCCGAGGGCGAGGACAGCCCGGGGGACCCCCTCGAGGCCGGCGCCCAGGAGCGGACCTGTGGACTAGAGGGGGAGGGAGGCGGGGACAGCGTGCCCGAGGGGTCCCAGCCGGCTAGCGAGGGGACCCAGGAGGTGGGAGCCCTGGAGAGGGACCAGGGAGAGCAGGCCGCTGAGAGCCAAGGGGAGGGGGGGCCAGAGCCTTCTAGTCCCAAGGAGACCAAGAAGAGGAAGCTGGAGGTGAGCCGGCGGCTAGAGCAGGCCCCGGGGGACCCTGGCACCCAGAGTGCCTCGGAGGTGGAGAAGATTGCTCTGAACCTGGAGGGCTGCGCGCTCAGCCAGGGCAGCGTCAGTGGGGAGACCCAGGAGATGGGCAGCCAGGAACAGGAACGGGGGGAACCTGAGCAGCCCGGCCCCGCGGTGCCAGGGGCCAAGGTGGCAGACGAGGTGAGGAAGCGCCGGAAGGTGGACCCGTGTTCAGGGGAGGAGGAGGCGGTGCTGTCAGCCGGTGGTGGTGACCAGACACCGGCCCCCACCTGCCCCCCTGCCCCGTCAGGGAGCCCTGAGGCGACAGCGGGTGGGGAGCAGGACAAGGAGGCAGAAGGCCAAGGGGAGCCGGAGCAGGGGGCCCCCAGGAGCCCGGGCTCTGCTGTGGAGGCGGGGCCACCTGCCAGTCCCCAGACGCCTTAGACAATGGGGTGCCAGCGGGCTGGGCCCCAGCTGCCCAGCAGTGCTGGCCTCTCCCTGGGGCCACGACAGCTGCCGTAAGCACAGGCCCCACCCTGCGGGAGCCAAGGACTCCAGATTCTCCCCTGACCGTATTTTCCGCCGCCGCCTCTGTGCCACTGCCCCAATCTTTGTAAATTGGCCCTTAAGGGTCTGGGGGTGGGAGTGGGGGCTCACTTTCTTAGTCTGGTACTGAGGCCTTTTCTGAATAAACTCGTTTGTCTTTGAGTGTTGGAGCGCGGATGCTGGCCCTGGGGGTGGGGCGGGGGAGGGGGGCTGCCTTCCTGACTGATGCTGCCCTTTGGGCTCTGGCCAGGCCTTGTTTTGTCATCCGTAGAAGAGTAAGTCTGGGGGCTCATGCACAGTTCCCTCGAGTGGGCTGAGGAGAGCAGGGTTGGGGTGTGCCCGCGCGGTGTAGACCATGCCTTTGCCTGCCCTGGTTCTGGGTACAGTGATGTGCCTTGGGGAGCAAACGCAGCGGTGCTCCCTGGCTGTGTCCCTGCCCTGCCAGCCACAACCCCCCACCTGTGACCCTCCCACACCAAGGTGCAGCGTCCCCAGGCCCCCTTAGCCTGGCCGGACACACCGCTCCCTTTCTATAGCAGCCCCCTCCCACAGGGCATGGCTGACTCTGGGCCTGGCTTCCGTCCTGACCCCGGCAGAGGGACTTTGCACGAGTGAAGTGATGAGGCCACAACTCCAGCGGGAGGAGGTGGGAGCAGAATGAATTCTGAGAGCTAACAGTGTGACCTGGGTTCCCTCTCGTGAAAAGCTCACCTCGCTCCTGGCCTGTTGGGGGTGTTAGACAAACGAAGCTATTTTGGAGGGAGAGCCTGACAACACTCACACGAGTGGGGGAGGGGCCTGTCCTTTGCTGGCTCCACCACGAAGAAATACCCACTGAGGTGGGTATAGGGCAGCGGTTCTCAACCTTCCTAATGCCGCGACCCCTTAATACAGTTCCTCATGTTGTGGTGACCCCCAACCATAAAATTATTTTCGTTGCTGCTCTATAACTGTAATTTTGCTACTGTTATGAATCGTAATGTAAATATTTTTGTTTCCCGATGGTCTTAGGCGACCCCTGTGAAAGGGTCGCGACCCACAGGTTGAGAACCGCTGGTATAGGGTGTCAACCCCTGAGTCTTCAGCAGGGTCCTCAGTTGAGAGCTTCATGGGGTCAAGCTTAGATGGAGAAGCTTGAAGCGAGGAAACCCCATTGGAGTTGCCCTGGGGTGGGGTCTGCCCAGCAGTGGGGACCCAGTGACAGGAGGGACTGAGGAGAGCTGGTGGGGGGACCAGGGTAGCTCCCCAAGCCCTGGGCTTGGCATGGGTGGGGCGGCTGCCCTCCAGTGCCCCTGCTGTCTCTGAGGACTTCCTAGGATGGCTCAGACCCTGCTGGGAGGGCAGGAGCGTTCCAGCTCTCAGGCCTTCGGGATTTAGTTCACGCCCCCCTCCCATCTGAGGCCTTGCCTGGCCTGCAGGAGCCGTCTAGGTCTGACCAACGGTGAAGCGGCTCTTAAGGGCGTCCCGTGCTTCCGCAGCTGCTCCCCGGTGCATCCAGCCTCCCGTGCGAGCCCTGAGTCCCACAGTGGAAGTAAAGCCCGGGCCGCGCACTAGGACCCCTACGGGCTCAGATCCCTGGGCATGGCCCCGTGTTTGAGAGGCCCCAGGTGCTGCCTCACTCCTGCACTTCCCTGCCCTCCCAGGTGAGGCCGTCTCCCAAATCCGGAGACCTGAGGTGCCCCAGGCCAGGGAGAACCGGGAACAGCTGACCCAAGCCTAACAGCTCCTGTTCATCACAGTTGCGCTCAGGCCCCTGGATCCTGGTGGCGTTTCCACTCTCTGCCGGGGCCACCACTTTGTCCTCTGGGGTGGGGAGGGGAGTGTGGGTGAGCGCGGCCCGTGCCAGTCCTGGCTGATGTGGACAGACCACTCAGTATAAAGTGTGAGGTAAGGGCCCTGGGGGTGGGAGGTGCTGCCAGCCTAGCAGTCCCCATAGCAGGAACCAGGGTGCGGGGGCCTCTCTGAGCCCTGGCACAGGGCACTCACCCTCTCTGGGGGTCTTCCTGGCTCTCACTCAGGGCCTGGGGAGGGGGAGGCAGCTTCCGCACCTCAGTTCTCGGAGTAGGGCTGCCCGCTCCCCAGGGGAGCCCTTCAGTGCGGGCTCCACACCCAGGATGAGGAGCATGTGGGGGAAGGCGCGCCTTTCTTTTCTGCTAAAAGGTGTCTGTGTGTAACTCACCAGTCTGGAATAATTTTAACTCAGAGGCTGGCCCAAAATGCCACTGTTGCTTTTTTGCCCCTAGCCGGCTGGGCGGGGAAGGCGGGCTATGCGGAAGCCCCCGCCCGCCCAGGTGGGCCCCCATTGAATGGGGGGCTTGTGCGCAGCCGGCGGCGGGGCGGGAACTGGCGACCTGCCCAGCGCCCGCCCCGCCCGCCGAGCCCCGAGCCCCAGCCCCGCGCCACCAGCAACACTCAGAGTGAGAGTGCCGCCATGGCCGGAGCCCCCACCCTGGCCCTGCTCCTGCTCGGGCAGCTGCTGGCTGTGACCGTGATGACCAAGGCTCAGGTGAGCACAGGGCCGCAAGCGAGCTGGGCTCGCACCGGCGGGCGGCGGGATGGGGCAGGGGCCAGGACTCCGATGTCAGACCTTGAGCAGCGCAGCCAGGGGACCAGGGGACAACCCCACACCCCAGCCACCCTGGGCCCACGAGCAGGCCTGGGACCTGACGGCGGCGTAGCCTTGCCACAGCCACCAGGCTAAGCCCCCACGGACATCGAGACTCCTCTAAGAGCCCAGGAGGCCACCCGGTCCTCTCCAGGCCCTGGTCCAACCACTGCCAGAGCTGCCGCGGCCACCAGAGACACACAATGTCGCCTTTGTTCCCCGAGGTTCCCTGTGGGGCTGGCACAGCCCCTCCCGGCTGAAGCAGAGGATATTGGGGGTATCTGAAGCTGGCCATGGTCATGTGAAAGCTCCCCCTCCCCATGCTGCTCCAGACCCGGGAAGAGGGGTCTCTCCGTCAGGCCGACCCGAGGGCCAACCAGGGGGACCCCCAATGCAGGAGAGGGGTGGAAGATCCCAACTGCCTAATAACATTTCTCCATTTCAGAAAGTGGGACCTCGAGGCCCCCCTGGTCCCCAAGGGCCACCTGGGAAGCCGGGCAAAGATGGCATTGATGTGAGTTTGGGGCATGGGAAGGGCCGGGGAGGGTTCTGTGGGGCTCTAGCTCTGGCCCCACCTGCCCTGAAACCCCAGGCCTGGTGGAGAGAAAACAGTCCCACTTCCCAGGGCTGGGTGATGTTGGGGTGACACGACAGCACCCCTCATGTGATGTGAAACGGGACAGGATGGTCCTTGTCCCTACTTGGGGCACACCCGGCGGGGGTTGTATCCCCAGGGCAAATAGTGGGGGCTGCATGGCAGTCTTTGAGCTGGAAATGTGGGTACTGAGGTGTGTCTCTGGGTCCCCCGAGGGGATGTGCTCCTGTATTCTGGGGGTGCAGGGCAGGGCCTCCCCCTCTGGGTGAGTCTTGTTGGGCTGCTGGGGGCTGGAGCCACCCTTAGAGGGGCTTGGGGGCCCGCTCTGCCCCCGAGATGGCACCCCCAGGCCAACAATGTGGGAAGGCAGGTGAAACCCTGCAGCCTGTCCCCTCCCAGCGGCCGTCTGCGGTGAAAGCCTCCCACCGCCCACCCACACCCATGAAAGGCAGGGGTCCCCCCAAGGCCTCTCCTCACCCATTTGAGCCGCAGGTGGAGTGCCCCTGGTCAGCCCTCAGCCTCCCTCCTCCAGCCCTGACCCCTGCAGGCCCAGCCTCCCACACCCTTCCCCCTGGGCTTGCACACCTGGCGCCCAGGGCTCCCAGGCCAAGCCTACCTTCCTTCTGGGACCTTCCACCTAAAACCTGGCCTGTAAGCCTGTTAAAGGGCCTCAGGCCCAGTGGTTGTGGGGGTGAGGCCTGGGCTGCCTGCCTGGGCCTCTACAAGTCTGGAGGTACCCCCTCTGACCAGCTGGAGACTGGAGGCCTCTCAGCTGTCTGCAGTCCACTTTCTGAAGCTTTTCAGGCCAGTGGAGGGGCAGGGCTTCATGACACATTTCCCTCATTTTTGGGGGTCCTGTCCCGGCCCATAAAGTGGTCCCCAAAAGCTGTGTGGGCCATGCAGGGGCTAAGCCCCAGTCTGTCCAGCTCACCCCTCTCCCCACCGTCTGGCTTTGTGCCTGGCCGTAGAGGGGAGGTGCCCCCTACATGTGGACAAGTGGGTGAGGGGCTCTGGGGCACAGCTCTGCTCCCCCAGGGCCGGGTTTTCAGGGGACCCTGGTCACATATGGGTGTCTTCCCTTCAGGGAGAAGCTGGTCCTGCAGGTCTGCCTGGGCCCCCGGTGAGTGTCCTGCCTGCCGTGGGGGGAGGGGCGGCCCCTTCCAACCTGAAGGGGAGGATGAGCTTAGAACAGAGGGGTCATTGACACCCCTTCCCACCACACTGGGCCCCGGGTCGCCCAAGGGGAGGCCTCAGAGGGCTCAGAGCAGGGATTGTGCCAGGAAAGGGGTGGGAGGGAGTGTGGGGTTCCGTGTCTCTGGGCCGGCTCTGGCTTTGAAGCTTTCTTTGGGCCAGTGCCCAGGCAGGCATGGGGTGTGGGGGTCAGCACAGCCCTGCAGTGCAGCTAGTCAGGGGTCTGACAAAGACGCCCTCACAGAGCTGCGCAGGCCCAGGAATTGAAGGTCCAGGGCTCACTGGGGGTCCCACAGAGGGACCCACCGGCCCTTACTGGGCAGGCGGAAGTGTCCAAGTGAATGTCCTACAGATATGACCAAGTAAGGGGGCAGCTGGAGAGGGAAGCCCCCCTGGGGCCAGCGAGGGGCGGGCAGGTGTGGTGCCCCAGCTGAGGCGGGTCTGTGCCACTGCGGGCGGGCGGGGCCTCTGTGGAGGGGGGCCATCTTGGATTGCGGGGTCATGCCCCTGCCTGGAAATCACTTTTCTTTTTGGTGAAGGACAGCCCTCCCCACTGGCCCTTCCCTCATGCCTCTGCCCACCCCGCAGGGACCAAAAGGGGCTGCCGGAAAGCCAGGGAAGCCAGGAGAGGCCGGGCTGCCGGGACTGCCCGGCGTGGACGTGAGTGTGCACTTGCCTCCCTGCCCCACCCCACGAGCCCCCACTCCCCTCCAGGCCTGGAGGGGTTCCTTCCCAGTGCCAGGAGTCAGGGTTAATCGCTGCTCTCCAGCTGGGCCTTCTCAAGCAGGAAAGCCAGAGTCTGATGTCCCCAGCAGGGGTCCCTTGGCCTTTATCCCAGAGCCTGGTCGTAGGTAGTTAGTCAGGCCAGGACGGGCGGGCGGGCAGCAGAAGACAGAGGCAGCCCACAGTAGAGGTGACAGTCCCACCTCTGGCTTACTGGGAACAAAAGCCCACTGCCCAGAACCCTCCAAGCCCCAGGCCGGCACATCAGTCACCAGAGGCTCAAGGCCTGCCCAGGACCACTGCGGGGGCCGGAGCGGGTCTGCGAAGTGGACGCCTGCCTGCTGGGCTCACCAACTCCAGCACGCGCTCCAGGCGCTGGCTCCCCACTGGCCCCCACCTGCCCCCAGAGCCTCTGGACACAGCAGGTGGACAGTGGATGGGCCAGGAGAGGGAGGTGCCAGGCCTGAGGGCTCGTTAGGGAAGAGCCCATTCTTAGGCTTATTCTCCCCGCTGCTCATGGGGGTGGGGGCAGCTCCTTTTCATGGGACCCTCAAGCCCTCCTTCACCCCCCCCTTTCTAGGGTCTGACCGGTAGGGACGGACCCCCTGGGCCCAAGGGCACCCCTGGAGATCGGGTAAGTGCCTGTGGCGCTTAGAGCAGCTTCAGTTCAGGGGCGAGGACGGAGCTGGGGGGGCCAGGCTGAGCACCCTCCAACCGCAGGGCTGTGGAGCTGGTAACTCTGAGGGCAGCTACCGTGACTGGGATGGTTGGGCTCTACCCTGCAGGAGGGTGGAGGGGCACAGAGTGGCGAGTGGCCAGTCCCCCGTGGTGCCCACCCATCCCACACCCACCCCAGTCAGAGTCGTCCTGGAATCCAGCTGTGTTGGGGAGGTTGGTATGGTTGGGGGGTGACTGGCCCCACGTGTCCACATCCTCCCCTGGTGGGCTGCCACTCACTTCTCTGTGCCCACTCACGAGGCCCACGGTCACCTAGACTTGCCCTGAGACTGACCATCGTCCACTGAAACCCACTTCCTGACTGACCAGCGCCTCTTCAAGGAAGACTTTTCCAAGCCCAGCACACCCTCCCCTTGCCCCTTGTGAGAAGTGACCGTCCACCTGTCCACCCGGCCCCTGGGTGCAGAGGGCGGGGAGGCTGCGGGGGATACCAGCGCACAGCACTGCCTTTGGGGACTCAGCTGTAGGATTGTTCTGAGTCGGAGACAAGCGAGTGGCTGCTGTGCCCCGGGTGGGGGAGGGCGGAGTAGAGTGTGGTTGGTGCCCGCCTTCCTGGTGGCCGATCCGGCCTGCGCTGCCCTTTCCGAGTCTGTTTCCAGTGGCCTCTTGCTAATCCTGCCCTGTTGGCTAGCGAAGGACTGGCCTCAGGTCACTGGGGCCTCAGTCCTCTGTAAAATGGGGCTCCTCCTCAGGAGCTGTAGGGTGGACTGGGGAGGGGAACGGGTTTGCAAACAGAGGTGGGTGCCTCGGCCCAGCCCACCCCTGACACCTAGTTTCCTTCTGCAGGGAAGTCTGGGACCTGCGGGGCCACCCGGGCTGGGGGTGAGTACCGTCTCTCCTGGTGGGAGTTTGAGGAGCTGGAGCCTCTGGCCAGGATGGGGTCGCCCACGAGCCCGGAGCGGCTGCTGGCCCTCTGTAGCCCCTCGGGCATTGGGCCCTCTCTGGGGGAGGCTCTGCCGCACCAGTTGCTCTTCCCCTAGGATACTCTTCCCCACACCCACCTGACCGATTAAGGAAGGGAGGGTGGGCGGGCACACCCGACCTGTTCCCAGCCGGCTCTGACCCACGCTTGGCTTTGCAGGGCAAAGGTCTCCCCGGACCCCCTGTGAGTACCGACAACCCTCCTGCCCCCACCCAAGCATGCCCACCACACCCAGAGCCAACCTGGCTGCCAGGTCCCAAACCAGGGCTGGGGGGAGGGCTTCTGGGGGGAACAGAGACCTGACTTCCTGCCTGGAGTCTCTGCCCCTTCAGAGAGGGCAAACTGGCCCTGCATGGGGGTCCGGGAGAGGGCTCTGAACTCCCCAGGCTGCCCGGAGCTCCTTGGGTGCAGACCCCCATTTCTTTACCCCCCAGGGAGAGGCAGGAGTGAGTGGGCTCCCAGGTGGACTCGGCCTCCGGGGCCCCCCGGTGAGTGGCTGCCCCAGACTTCCCCCCAATGCTGGGAGCGGGTGCCCTGCCTGCCAGGACCCCTGAATTTAACTGTAGGAGCTGCCCCAACTTCTCTCTCCCCCTGTATCCCCCCTTTCTTGGTGGGATCTGATGGAAAGCACAGGTCAGACCTCATGACCACAGAGGACATGAGCACAGGACAGGCCGGGGAGGTGGGAGGAGCTGGGAGTGTCCCCATAAGGGCACAGTGGGGTGAGGCTGCTCTCTGAAAGTCGCCGGTCACCTCACCTCAGCTGGGGGCTGACCCTGCTCCGTCTAAGTCATAACCCACCCCACCCCCAGGGACCTTCTGGACTCCCAGGCCTGCCTGGCCCCCCAGGACCTCCTGGACCCCCTGTAAGTACTGGGCAGGGGCTGCAGGATGGGTGGCTGTCCCCAGGCACCCCAGCCCCGGGACGCATGCCCATGTGGACTCCCAGCCTCTCCCCAGACACAGCCGGCTGAGTCCAGGGCTGAAGCAGGGATCTGCGGATATACAGGGCTCAGGCCCAGTGGGCAACCCCACCCCAGGGCAGGTGGTTTTTGTCATTGTCACATGCCCTGCCAATGGACCAGGAGTGCCCAGCACAGGCCATGTGGGGGATGAAGGGCCATTGTCCCCTGGTGGTCCCCAGTGGTGGGTGTGGGGCAGGAGGGGAAGGGATGGTGGGTGTCACAGTCAGCCGTCTCTGTGTTCTAGGGTCACCCAGGGGTCCTCCCCGAAGGCGCTGCTGACCTTCAGGTGGGCACCAGCAGCCATTCGTGAAGGGGACTGGGGGTGCCTGTGGTGGTGGGAGGGGCTGTGGCCCCATCTACCACCTGGGGACCCATCTGGAGAGCCACCAGCGCCCTCCTGCAGGAAGGCTCAGTGCAGGCCCCCCAGCTCCCACACTGCCTCCCCGTGCCCTCCCCACCCGTCCAGCCAGCACTGGCCACGTGCAGCCGTGGGAATCCAAATTAAGCAAAATCAAACAGGCCAGCGCCCCTCGGCCCAGCCACACTTCAAGTGCTCGGCCACATGTGGCCAGGGTCGGCTGTCCTGGGCAGACAGATTATTCCCCTCACAGAAGGTTCCGGGCTAAAGTCTGGGACTCACTTTGAGCTTTGCACTCATGTGAGAAGGAATACAGCGGCTGGGCGGCCCGGACTGGCTTCTCCACTCCGTGCAGCGGGGTGCAGCGGGTCCAGGCGGTCAGCATCCGGCCCCCCTCCACAGAGGGGCCGCATTGTCGAAAGACCGGCTGGCCTGGCTCCCGCTGATGCTGCGTGCCAGCTCTGCTCGACCCACGCCTGTCCCAGAGGGGGGTTTAGGGACCGTCCAGAATGGGGACAGCGGCTGGGCCCCTGAGGGGCAGGCGAGCAGCTGGAGTGGAGGTCGATGGCACCGGCTCTGCCAGAGCAGAATCCTCACGC